GGGGGTGGAGGGGGCGAGAAGGGAGAGGTATCTCCTCGTACTTATACTAAGTTTCTTAGTTTGGTATAAAGTCCTTAAGTTGTTTGAAGGGGCCTAAAATGAAGTTTTAAAATTTTATTTCCCCCCTTAATTGCTATGAGTTTGCAAGGCGTGCTAGAGTACTCATTAATAGGGCCTTAATTAAAATCTTATACCGTCTGCTACACAATAATTGGCCTGGTGTGTATTTTTAAGTCCTACTCCTTAATCGTTGAATGATTTTGGAGGTGTTGAGTACCTTAATAACGTGAATCAAAATAATCTCCAATTTTTAATTTATTGAACTTCCCAGTGCTAATTAGTGTATGTAAAACATTTGAATTGTGTTTGGTTTCACAGGACCTGCAACTTGACGAATTAAAGCAGCAGGTTTCTACGTTAAAATGTCAAAATGAACAGCTGCAGACAGCAGTCACACAACAAGTGTCTCAGATTCAGCAACACAAGGATCAATATAATCTTCTCAAAGTACAGCTAGGTAAGCATAACTAGCCATTAGCTTGCTGGGTTAGACATTGGGCTGCTAATCACAAGATTGACGGTTCAAACCCACCAGCTGCTTGCTAGGAGAAAAATGAGACTATGAGTCGGAATTGAATCACGGCAGTGAATTGGGTTTGGTTTTGGATAATGTTTAGGGAGGCAGACTGACACCTTTCTCCCATGGAACAGCTGGTGGTTTCGATCCACCAACTTTTCAGTTAGCAGCTGAGCACTTTACTGCTGTGCTACTAGGGCGCCTTGTGCTGGAGGAAGTATAAATGCATATGCAAGTATGCATTGCATAGCATCCTTTTGGACAGTGTCTGAACACATATATGCCCTGGTCCTATAAGGTTTTTTTGTTTGTCTGCCTGTTGCTTGTTTTTAAGGAGAAAATGCTCTTCTGTTTATTATTTCCCTCTATGGTTTTTAAGACCCCAAACTCCGATGCTGGCCACACTTGATCTCAGGTGGATACATTCATGTGAGACAGAGGCCATGGCTTTGGGTGCAGGCTCTAGGGCAGTGGTTCTCAACCTTCCTAATGCCACGACCCCCTAATACAGTTCCTCATGTTGTGGTGACCCGCAACCATAACATTATTTTAATTGCTACTTCATAACTGTCGTTTTGCTATTGTTATGAATCAGGTGACCCCTGTGAAAGGGTCATTCGACCCCCAAAGGGGTCACAACCCACAGGTTGAGAACCGCTGCTCTATAGCTTTGTCAGGTGGGCATGGTTTGGCTAGGACTTCTTCTGCTCTTAGGCTGGCAGAACATCAGGCTGGTTAGTCACCCTCTGCGCCCTCCTTGTCGCTTCTCCTCCTTCCATCCCCCCCTCTGCCCTCTCCGCTGCCCCTGCTGCCAATATCTGTTCCTCCAGCAGCAGCGGCAACAGGGGCAGGAAAGGGAACTGAATGCAGGCTTCGGTAAGTTTTTTACCAGTGTTCACACAGTGTCTGTCACACGCCATGCTATTTCACAGAGCATACCCTGAATGGTAGGCAACACATACCTATTGTACTAGAAAGTGAAATGATAATTTCATGAATCCCTGACGGTAATTAGATTCTGGACACTTCAAATGTATTTTCATGTTTTCCTCATAACTAATGCTTTAAGTAGACCCACTTGTCCAGATTAGATTCACATAGCTTACCAAGGTCACCACGCCGTAGTATTTCTCCCAATCACATATTTTCTTGGAATAACATTTGGATAGTACTTAGTGGAGTGGGAGTTTTCACATATACTCATATTTCATTTTCTTCTCCATAATTCATAGAAGAAACTGAGGCAAAGAGGTGGTTATCTGCAGTAATGCAGCTAAAAGGTGTCAGGAATAGGCCTCAACTTTAGATTTCTGACATCTAATGAAATGGGTATATAAACCTGAGAAATACTCTGCATAGGTAGCTGTCTTTCAAGTAGTATTTTCAAAAGAAGTTAGGTAAATATACATATGTATGATTATAAGAATTTTCCAAACTTGCTCACAGTTCTCAAAGCTATTGCCTCATGTGCAATGCCTTTCAAAGAGATTGAAGAATCCTTGCGTTTTTGAGGTGTCCCCATAATGGTCTCTGCTTATAAAGCGTCTCCTTTTCCAAAATTTGAAATATACATATTTTTTATTGCTAAATTTTAATATGTATTTAAAGCTAACTATTTGGAAATAGGATCATCTTACAGTGCTTAATATTGGAATATTAACTACTAGAAGGCTTGTTTATGTGAGACTAAAATATTAGAAAAGTCTCTTTTTTACTCTCTCTACTTATAGCAGTAATTTGCCAGTTACTTCATGTTGAAGGTTATTCCTTTGTAAGGCTTTAAGAGGAATTTCAATAAAATAAAAAAGAGGAATTTCATGTTCCCTTATGCTGGCAGAATTGGGCTGGAGGCGAACGTAATTCTTCTTCATGGATCATTGAGTGTGCCCTTTAGGCCAATGCCACCATGCCTGCTCTTTACTTCCAGGGGCTCTGACTCACTGTATTTCTCCAGATGCTGTTGTTCAAGGAACGAGTGTGCTTGTCAATGTGCTTACAAGTCCATTTGAATCTTTTAATTAAAAGCCCTATGCTGACCTCTCAAATGTTATCCCTAATAGGAAAAGAGAGTCAGCATCAGAGTTCTTACAGCGATGGGACTCAGGTAAATGGCATTCAGCCAGAAGAGATTGGTAGGTTACAAGAAGAGATAGAAGAATTAAAAAGTAATCGGGAACTTTTACAAAGCCAACTGTCTGAAAAGGACTCTTTGATTGAAAATTTGGTAAGTTGAAAATATTTTTAAAGAAATCAGGAATATTTCTCATTATCCTGCTTGTTCATTTTTCTTTATTTTTCCCTTAAGCTCTAGAGCAGCAGTTCGCAACCTGTGAGTCATGGCACCTTTGGGGATTGAATGACCCTTTCACAGGGGTCGCCTGATCCATAACAGTAGCAAAATGACAGTTATGAAGTAGCAACGAAAATAATGTTATGGTTGCGGGTCAGCCCAACATGAGGAACTGTATTAAAGGGTCGTGGCATTAGGAAGGTTGAGAACCACTGCTCTAGAGTATAATATTAAGATTTTAAGAGTATGAGCTTTGAAGTCAGATAATTAAGCTTCCAAGCTATTTGCACTAGAGCAGCAACATTAACCTCTTGAAACCTGTTTCATGATCTGTGTATGGCGATGGTACTTCTGTTTTCTTCTTTGGAGAAGTAGATGATACACTCAGTGTAAAATTACTCAGTAAATGAAACATGGTCACTGTGTGGCTATTTTTATTTGATCTTTTCCCAAGAGATCTCAGATAAGTGCTTAGATGTTTAAATAAATTATTTGATATAATTATAAATTTATTGACAATAGAAAAGTTATAATGCTACATTGAAATTTTATCTTTGATGTAAGAATTAAAATGTTGACAAGAAATCTTTTGGTGAAAATCTGTAAGATATAGTGTGTATGTGTACACTTCTGCTTTGGCTTTCTGTATATGTGTCCTTTTAGACAGAATTTATTCCGTAGTTTATTCCTATCTTATTTGTAGAAAGCTTCCAAAACATCTTCTGAGACAAATGAACAATATTCAGCAATCACTTCAGTTGGAGATTCTGAGGAAGTTGCAGAATTAAAACAGGTAAACAATTCTTGATTCATGTTTTGTCTGTTTGTTTAATTATAATGGCTCTGCAGTTTCATTAATTTAGAGCTACCTTCCCCCCTTTCTTCTTTTCTCATTCATTCTTATTTCCCTGCATTTTTTCTTTGTAATTTATATCATTATTAGCTCTCCCCTCCTTTCATAGTGTAAAAGAATTCATGTTTCTTGTTAAAAAATTGTTTTCTTTCAATCAGTACACAGTAAGAAATGATTGCTCTGGTTTGGCCAAAACAACATATAGGACTTTCTTCCATCTCCCTCCAATAGTCAACAGGTCCTGGCCTGTTGTCAAGAACTGAACTGAGAACAAAATGATGCACACAGAGAAGCTGTCTTTTGTCATGGTATCTTCTGTGTCTCAGCTTAAGATTTTAAAGTCAAACATTTTTCATTAAGGATTCTCAAGTCTCCAATATACAGTAACCACAATGTTTCATTCTTATGGGGAAGATTAATATGCTGTTGTGTTTTTATTTAAATAAAACCACTCTAAAACCAAACTCACTGCCATTGAATTGATTCTGACTCAGTGTACCTGTTGGACAGGGTAGTTTTGTCTGTGGGGTCCCAAGACTGTGACTCTTTGTGGGAGTAGAGTTATGCCTTTGTTCCACTGAGCAACTGGTGGTTTTCAACTGCTAACTTGGTGGTTTGCAGAACAATGTGTAACTACCAGGCCACCACAGCTCCTCTGCCTACACTAGAAATGTATTAAAATGAATTTAAGTTAATAAACAACCTTCATTTGAAATTGTCTAGTAAATATGTTACTCTGTTAATGTATTGTCCAAGGAAACTTCAGTTA